TCAAGATGGTACTGTTCGCTAAGTTCATCTAATTTATTTAACACAATTCTATCAAAATTCCAGTTGACATCTTTGTGGAAATTGACAAGAGAGTTCCTAAAATTCATATGGAAATTCAAGGGATCCAGGAGAGCTAAAGTAACAAAGTTGGAAGACTCACATTTCCAGATTTCGGCAGATACCACAAAGCTACAATAATCAAGACAGTATGAAACTAATGTAAGGACAGATATGTTAGTCAATGGAGGAGAACTGAGTGCAGGGAAAAAAATTCACATTTATAGTGGATTGATTTTTAACAAATGTTCCAAGGCCATTAATGAGGAGAAATAAGAGTCTTTCCAACAAATGCTACTGGGACAACTTAATATACACATGCAAAAGAATGCAGCTGGAACTTTTTCCCACACCATATTCAAAAATGAACTTAAATGGAACATAGATATAAATATAAGAACTAAAACTGTATGAGGGAAAACATAGGAGTACAAAATGAAAGTTTTTGCAAACAGGGACTAGCAGATGGCATAGTGGTTACATTGCTGGATTCCCATGTAGTCGACCACAATTCGAGTCCTGGACCTGGGTGGCTTAAACTCAAGCCAGGCATGTTTGCATGTATACCCAAAATCCTGAGAGGAGAATGGATGAGGAAGGATTGCAGCATGGCCATCCCCCCGGAGGGGGGGTGGTTTCTCACTTTCTATCTCTCTGTCTCTCCAGCGAGTATACATGCCCTATAGCAAAAATCTCTATCTCAAAAAAAAAATTTTTTTTTTAAATAATTTATCTGATGAGACATGTTTCTAGAATTAAAGAACAATTAAAATTTGGGACCAGCAGTTGGCGTCATGGCTATGCTGCTGGTTCGAGTCCGGACCAGGTGGCTTAAACTCAAACCAGGTGCATGTGTGTGTGTGCCCAAGATCCCAAGAGGAGAATGGAGCAGAAGGGATTGCAGCATGGCCATTCCCCCTGGGGACGGGGGAGGGAGGGGTGATTTCTCACTTTCTGTCTCTCTGTTTCTCTCTGTCTTTCTGGTGAGCACATGCACCCTACAGCAAAAACCTCTCCGAAAAAAAAAAAAAAATTAAAATTCAACAACAAATAATACCATTTAAAAACAGACAAAGGATCTGAGAGACATGTCTCCAAAAAACATAGATAAATGACCAGGAAACACATAAAAAGATGCTGAGCATCATTAGTTTTCAGGAAAATGTAAATTAAAACAATGAGGCAATATTTTATATCCACTAAGGGTGGCTGTCATTAAAAAGGCAAATAACAAGTGTTGGTGAGGATGTGGAGAAACTGGAACCTTCATGTCCAATTCATGGGAAAGTAATATGGTGCAGCCGCTTTGTGCACAATCTGGCAGTTCCTCAAATGGTTAAACAAAGTGATCACGGGACTCAGAAATTCCAAAGTTAAGCACGAACACAAGAGAAATGAAAACACACATTCCTACAAAAACTTATACGTGAATGTACATAGCAGCTTGTTTACAACAGCCATATTGTACTCTTTAAATATGTGCCTTCATAGCCCAATCACGGTATTCAAAAGTTATATGAAACAAAAACAATAAGCAGAAAACTTACAATGCCAATGAATTAATGCATCCTTATATATATGTATTTTGAGAGATTTTTACTATAGGGCACATGTGATTGCCAGAGAGACAGAGAAGACAGAAAGTGAAAAATCAGCCCCCAGGGAGGTTGGCCATGCTGCAATCTTTTGTCCTCCAACCTCTTCCTGGGATCTTGGTTACACATGCACATGCGCCCATCGTGAGTTTGAAGCTGCCAAGTCCAGGACTCAAACACCATTTGAGTATATGGAGTATAGCAACATAACTATTACACCATCTGCTGGTCCCTGCATCCTTATATTTTATTTATGAAGTACAGTTACCAAAATAAAAATAAAAAGGGAAAGAATTAAGAGAGGAAATGGCACTTAAAAGGAAACAAAAGCTAGGGAAAGGCTCTTGGATCAACCAGATGAAAACAGAAAATACATCAACTTTGTTTTTCAGCCTAGGCATTATAGTTGTGGCTCTGCCCAGGGTATTTGTTTTTTCTTGCTCTTTTCAGAAAGGGAGACTTAGCAAAGATCAAAGGCTGAATGCACATAAATCAGATATTCTGGGCAAACACTTTCATTCCGTAATACATCAGAACAGTAAATGTGTGATGAGTAGAGGGACTTGCTATGAAGAGTCAGGCATTGAAGCCTCACAAGTATTAGGGTAAATCTAATCAAGGCTCTCACTTGCCTTTTCTTATACATCACTATATACCAAGTACCTTGCATAGAACAGGTACTCAAAAATGTCTGCCCTTGGGGTTAGCAGGTAGTATGGTGGTTAAGGGTGTAGGACTTCCACATGACCAACCATGGTTCGAGTCTCAGACCTGGCAACTTGCTTTCTCAATTTCCCTTTCTCTCATCCTGTCCTTTTCTGGTCAAATTAAAATAAAATAAAATAAAATAAAATAAAGGTAAATAATTCTTAAAAATAATGTCTGCCCAACCTATACTACTGATACATAACTGCTACATGTGTTATCTCACTAGCTAACCAAACTAAGGAAACAAAGTGAGCAAAACACTCAGCATTACAGGAAAGGTGCCTGACTGTGGCTCTGCTAGGAATCACTTGTAAAACTATTATAGAGATGGGACATGGCTAATGTGTTTTCTAAAACTCTGCTGCCAGCCATACAGACAAGGGTATAGAGCCACTAGGCTGTAAACAGAAAAAAAAAAAAAAAAAAAAAAAAGTTGCATTTTCTTAGTAACCAAATTCTAGACATTTGTGTGGTTGAGAGAGAGAATAATAGAAAACATGGTGTGAGAACTTGGATACTTTATTGAACTTTACCTGGATTATTAGATCAAAGACAAGGACATAATGCAATATAAATAAGAACTTTATCAAATTAAAGGGCAATACATACCACAGCAATAAAATACCCAACTCATTATTCTTTGGCAATAATCAAAAAGCTAGAGTTTCGCACTTGATATCAACCACTTCAACGTGATAGATTACTTAAGACTTCTGTTAAGCCTCCCTGCTTTCTCTGATCAATAATGACCTCTGGTTTCCCCATCCCTGACAGTCCATGGCATCACACTTTTCATTATTTTATGGGGGGTTATTTACTATAGGACTTCGATGTGACGCCCCATGTTTTAGCTCCACAAGTTCCACATGGGAAGCTGTATAGTCTACTGTTTAGGAGGGTAGGCTTTGGAGCCACAGGGCTGGGTTTAAGACTTAGTTCCATCACTTCCTAGATGTATATGCTTAAGGCAGTTGATTAACCTCTCTGTACCTCAGTATCCTCATCTGTAATATGAAAATAATAAAACATTGTGAAATTCAGGTAGCATGGTAACTACTGAATGACTGTAGTATTTGCCCTATCACCTTTTCCTGGACTCCTCCCTTTACTTTACCATGCCATATTGACTCAAGAAGACCTGTAACTCCCTCTATGATACATTCAAGTATATCTACTTCTAGCACCTCAATGTTCTCTCTCGTGCAAGCCTCTGTAACCTCTTGTCTAACTGACACACTACAACAGTCTCCAGCCTTGCCTCCTTGACTTCATCCTGACTACTACTCATTTTGTTTTCTATAGAGCAGCAGAGTAAGCTCTTCAAATGTCAATATGACCAAGTCACTTTACTATTCATGTTCCTACAGTCTGAAATGTGAACACTGTGGTTGAGGACAACACCCAGGGAATGGTGTTAGGAGGAGGAATCTAGGTCCCTACATCTCTCTTGATCTGGGTCCTGCCTGCCTTCCACCTATATTTAGAGATCCTGGTTCCACCCTACTGGACTGCTTACCTTCATAAAACTGTATGTTGTATTGCACAAAAGAATAAAAGCCAACGTATACTACTGATACATAACTGGTTTGAAATCTCTACATTACAGAAGTGTAACATGAATCTCAGTAATGTAACAATTGGCACCTGGAGGTGAGGTGTCGCTGTGACAGAAACAAAAGTGGCATTGGCTTCTGGTCAGTGAGTAAAAAAAAAGTGGTGCGGGGTAAAAAGCTAATTAATTACTCTTGCTGTGCTGTAAAAACATTTGAAAAGACATTGCCTGCATAAACGTGGAAGACAGATACTGTATTTCTCAAGCCTGTAGTTTTAGAAGCAGCAGAAAGAAAATGTTGGATAAGTTTCCTCACTGCTGCTCTTAGCAAGGAACTACGAAATAAATAACGTAGAGTAAAAACTAGCCAGAGCTGGAATACGATACAATTCTATGAAGAAGCTCTGTCTTCCTACTCTAATCCTACAGGGCTTTTTTCAGTTCTTCTAATACGCTAAACTCCTTCCTCCTTTCCTGCTCTCCTTCAGCTCCAGATCTGCCTACCCCTAGTCAACTTGCAAGTCTCCCACAGTCCTGACTTACCCACTCACTTCAATATTGATTAGGTCCTCAATTATCATCTCATCTGATCTTGTTCTCTTCAAGCAAAGCACTCAACCCAAGAAGCACTATCATGCTCACTTGCCAACTTAACTGGCTGAGAATGTTTGCTTACCACATACCCGCCCCACACCCGACACCTAGCCCAGTGCCTGTCACGCGGTAGCTATTGTCAGCAATCGAGAGACTTCAGGACAGCAAAGTGCACGACAATCCATGATCTAGACAAGGGGCATCCCCGTTCTTGCAAGGAGCCAGCCCTAGCGCACGTTTTAGGAACCTCGGGCCTAGATTCCTTGGAAGACAGCGGGAGCAGTGGCGCTCGAGTCCCGTATCTGCGCAGGCGCGAGGAACAGGCGGGGCGGCGACTCGGACACGCCCACCTCAGGCTCAGCCTCAGCGGGTGAGCCCGCCAGAGGCTCAGTCAGGCTTCCCTGAAGGGCCGCGCCCGGAAACATGAAACCCTGTGAGGCCAGCCCAAGGGCGTGAACCCTTCTATTTCTAACACCCAGGCCTCGGGGGCTCACCGCGTCCCCCGGAACCTGCAGCTCCTCCGGCCTCCTCCGTCGCCACCGGCTCACAGTCAGGCTGTCCATGCGGCCTCAGGCCAGAGCCTAGCACTTTGCTCATTCCCACCCCGAAGCCGGGCCGCCTGGCCGCGCCCACGGGCACGCCCCCTTCCGCACGTATCTCGGGGAGCCAATGAGGAGGCAGAAGGGGCGAGGCCGGCGAGGAGAGCGAGTGCCCTCGGACACCAGGATTGCAGACATCAGTAGCGGAGACCAGAGTCTTCTAGGGTTGGGGCAAGAATGCAGGTGTCCGTCTGCCCCAGGTCATTGTGTCGCAGAAGATGGCTTGTCGCTTCTGTTCATAGAAGCAGATGTGGGGGTCGAAGAACCCATTCTTTTAGGATTACGCCACGCTTCGACTACAGCTCCTCGCCTCTGGTCGCCGAACCCAGTTCACAGCTGTTTTTCTGTGTCTAGCTGATACGTGGCGAAGCTGCGGGGGTCTCTGGGAGTTGTAGTTCTCCGTAGGCCGCCTCACTTCTGGGTATCTTTCGCCCCTTTGGAGACTGTGGGGCGGAGGGAAGCGCAGTGTTCTGAAGCCCGGTTTTGCCCAGCGCACCGTTGCTGTTGGATGGCTTCTTGTTGGGAGGCTCCGAACGCACCTCATTTCTCCGCAGGCTGGCGGGCGCAAGGAAGTCGCAGGTGCTGAGTTGCCGGAGCCCTCGGGCTATGCAGAAGAGGAAACTGAAGCTCAGAGGAGGGCTGCTACTGTAGGGAGCGTGGGCCGCCGAGGCAACATCAGGGCCGAGGTCCTCGCTCACGGGGGTTCCGCCGCACTGCCGCCTTAGAGAAGCCAGCTATCCCTCTGAACAGCAGGCGGTCCAAACTCCTTGCCCATTTGTATGCTAACCATCACTGCACCCTCATCTGTCTACCCAGAGAACTCAGGGCTGGGAGAATTTCTTTAACAACTTGTTCAGGCTTGTTCTGCCCCAGCATCTTCCTCCCTGCCCTACTACGGAAATCCGGTGGTTCTGCACCCATGTACCCAGACTCAGCGCCCTTTTTGGCAAATTAAAATGGGGCCAGTCCTTTGCCAGTGGTTGGCTAGTAGTGTCCATGTGACTCAGTTTTGGCCACTACAGGAGGTCTTTGGAGGCAAAGTTCTGGACAAGATTTTCCAACCTGCTAAAAAGGGATGTGGGTGGCTAGGGAGCTACCATCTTCCCGGTGTCAGCTTCCTGGAGCTGCTGCAGTTCTATTGTCACGATGGTGGGAAATCTAATGGAAAATAGGAAAGCGCCTAGGAAGGAACAATTTGACCTTCAGAACCAACCTAGGGTTGACAATCTCCAGACTTCTGGTGTTTGTTATTTGAGTTGCTGTGTATCATACTGTTTGCAAAGGCCTGTCTGTTCTTAACTATTATTGTGAAATGCTCCAAGTGTTTTTGGGGCTGCTTGCTGCATGATCTTAAGCAAATTAAGTGGCTATTCTACCTCAGTTTCCTTATTTATAGAAGATATTGACGACTCTTAGGGTATTCTGAGGATTTGATGAGGTATTTACATAGAAAGTATTTAGAACAATGCCTATTATAAACCAAGTACTCAAAGATTGGTATATTGCTACTACTAGTACTCTTAGGACTAATACTGCTACCTACCACTGGTACACAGTCTCATAACAAATATCTTTGAGGCAAGAAACACTTACAGCAGGATCTGTGACCACATCCTGTATTCAATTTTTCAGTAGCAATGTAGCAATATATAAAGGTGACACACAAAAGTGAAATTTGTGAAAATTACAAGAAGTCTTGTGTTCGCTCAAATGTGTTTGCTCAATTGGGAAAGCTAATGAGTTTTAGAACTTTTTACATTTTATAATTGAAAATAATACTGTTGTAAACTGTACTACTACCTACATGTTACTAGTTTTTCTTGTGATTCAGATTAGGTGACTTGTTTTGTTATTCAGTTTCAATATAACTGGTCTTTGTACTTATGACCATTTTTCAATTGTGTCAAAGAACAAAATTTCAAAGATCTAATTGGCTGACAAACTAGGCAGCATCCAGTCTACAAAATAGAAAGGCATTCTGATGAGATAGAGTTGATGACATTTACAGGCAGAAAAAAAAAAGTGGAGGAAAGAAGCAACAATAAAGAGCAGATTTGTCCCTTCAAGATTACTTTCTTTATGAGAGTATAAATGAAATCTTGCTGACTTAATGTGACTTGACTATCATCTTTCCTGATTTCTCTAAAAATCTTACAAGTGGGAACCAGCAGTTAGCGTAATGGCTATGTCGCTGGACTCCCACATAGTTGACTGCGGTTCGTGTCCCGGACCCAGTGGCTTAAAACTCACGCCGGGCGCGTGTGCGTGCATGCCCAAGATCCCGAGAGGAGAATGGAGGAGAAGGGATTGTGGTGTGACCATCCCCCCTGGGGGGTGATTTCTCGCTTTCTGTCTCTATGTCTCTCTCTGTCTGTCTGGCGAGCGCACGTGCTCTACAGTGAAAATCTCTCCAAAAAAAAAAAAAAAATCTTACAAGTAACCAATTTAGGTTTTGGTTTCCTAGAGCGGAACTTTAGCATGAATGACTCTATTTGGGACCTGCTGTCTTTGCTTTAACAGAGCTTGATCCAACTGTCAGATAGTAGGGGAAAACCTTACCCCAGAAACTAGGTACAGCAATAGTTATGTTTAGAGGGATGCTCAGTACACTACTTACCAGACATCAGTCATTTGAGTACCAACTGCAGTATGTATACTAAATTCTCTTGGTATTTCCTATATTTGTTTAAATGTTCAGTATTCTCAAATGTTTTAAAAGTTAAATATAATATAGAACATCTATAAATTGATGGCTTAAAAATACTTTTTATATTTTTTGGAGAGATTTTTGCTATAGGGAATGTGTACTCACATGGTAGAGAGACAGAAAGAGAGTGAGAAATCATCCTCTGGGGGGGAGATGCCCTTGCCTCAATCTTTTCTTCTCCATTCTTCTCTTGGGATTTTGGACATGCACGTATGTGCTCAGCATGAATTTCAAAATCCCTGGTCCAGGACTCGAACTATAATCGACCACATGGGAGTCCAGCACCTTAATCACCATGCCATCTGCTGGTAAGAATACGTGTCCTTTGGCAAAAATAATTTTTTTAAGAATTATTTTATTTATTTATTTTTTTTTTTCACATGAGCTTTGCCAGAGAAAGAGAAAGAGAGGGAGAGAGAGAGTGAGAAAGCAAGCTGCCAGGCCCAGGACTCGAACCATGGTTAGCCATGTGGGAATTCCAGTGCCTTAACTACCATGCCACCTGCTGGCCCCTCCTCTGGCAAAATTTTTAAAAATAAAATAATGCCTTTTAAAAAAATTGCCAGAGGATGCATGTACTTGCCATAGAGTCCTAGAGAGAGAGGGAGGGTGAGAGAGGGAAAGTGAAAAAGCACTCCCCATGGGACAGGGACACAATGCAATCCCTTTTCCTCCACCTTCCTCCACCTCTTCCTCTCATTGGGAGCCTGTCACACAAGCACAGGTGTTTTTCAGTCCATCACATTGGGGCTTAAACCTCACAGTCTGACATCTGAGATTTAGCTGCCTTAACCACCATGCCATTGGCTGGCCCTAAGATGTTAATTATTTTAATATGTTAAAATAAATAGGGGACCAGCAGTTAGCATAATGGCTATGTTGCTATACTCCCACATAGTCGATCACAGTTTGTGTCACTCACACTGGGCGCATGTGCGTGCGTGCCCAAGATCCCAAGAGGAGAATGGAGGAGAAGGGATTGTGGCGTGGCCATCCCCCCTAGGGGGTGATTTCTCGCTTTCTGTCTCTCTGTCTCTGTCTGTCTGGCGAGCACATGCACCCTATAGGGAAAACCTCTCCAATAAATAAATAAATAAATAAGCTATTAGAAAAATATGGAAAAGGCTTCATGGCATTAGATTCTTGTATAATCAAGAATCAAAAAAAGAAAAAAGAGATAAGTTGGACTACATCAAAATTTACGACTGCATCTAGATATTGTTAACACAGTAAAAAGGCAATTCATGAAATGGTGAAAATAGTTAAAAATCACATATCTAATAAGGAATGAAAATACAGAATTGATAAAGAATGCCTACAAATTAATAGCAACAATTAAGAACTGAACTGAAGAGAGAGTGGGACGTCTGGCTTCTGAGTGGGAACCCTAGTAACCCGAGTGACGAAAGAGAGAATTAAAAATGGGCGAGGTTGAGAAAGGCAAGATTTTTGTTCAGAAGTGTGTCCAGTGCCACACTTTGGAAAAGGGAGGCAAACACAAGGCTGGCCCAAATCTTCATGGTCTGTTTGGATGGAAGACAGATCTGACCTCTGGATTCTCTTACACAGAATCCAACAAGAACAAAGGCATCACCTGGGGAGAGGACACTGGAGTATTTGGACAATACCAAGTACTACATTCATCTTCCCTGGCATTAAAAAGAATTCAGAAAGAGCAGAAGTGAAAGCTTATCTCAAAAAAGCTACTAATGAGTAGTAGGTGGCCACTTCTTTATGACAAAACAGAAAAGTCTCATTTTATTTTATGTGTACCATACTTTAATTGCTCTACACCAGAACTCAGATCCTGAATAGCTAACAGGATATTCTTTTTGGACAGCCCTGATATAAGTAAGACTGACTCGTGGTTAAATGAATATTGTTGTTTTTTAAAAATTTTAATAGTAATGTCAGTCAAGTAAATGCTATCACAATTTCACCTTTCTAAAGATGTAATTGGTAATTCATTAGTAATGCCCATCTTTCTACAAAGATGGTGAATGCCATCTCAAAACCTACTGGAGATTGTTTGTTTTATTTAGTCTTATATGTAACTTGTTATATGAGTATATTAATTCTGGAGAAATCCTTTCACAAAACCAAGCAGATTCACCTGTGTTTTAATTGTGTTCATTAACCCATTAAAGGCAAGGACTGAAATAAGGTAGCGATGTCCACTTTATATATTTGATCATAACTTTGCCAGTCTAATTAGAATTCCCAGTATCCAAAACACTGCCTTTTACATATTAAAAGACATTTTAGTGTGGCTTGTGTATACTATCAAATAAAGACTCTGTAACACTTTACATATTTTATAAATGATTTATAAGGTCAGACACTTTGAAAGTCAGTGTGACAAGATTTAGTAGCAAGTTAAATTTTGCCTTTTAATTCTATTATCTAAGTCAGACTAAGTTATATTTTAAGATTGTCTTTAGGAAATTCTTCAAAACCAAAAAAAAGAAAATACATAGATAGTGAAGAAGTACTATATATGTGTAATTTGCAGTGGCGCTTTTGCCAATTTATTAGAAATAAATTGGAAGAGGAGATGTATCATCAGCATAACTTTGTAAATTATGTCATCATAAGACTTAAGATAAATTAAAAACCAAATGACAGATTAAAAAAAAAAAAAAACTCCACTGAAAAGTACACAAAAAACTGGAATAGACATTTCTCCAAAGATATACAAATGGCCAATAAGCACATGAAAAGATGATCAATATCATTAGACATCAAGGAACTGCAAATCAAAACCATATTGAAATAGAACTTCACACCTATTATGATGGCAATTATTAAAAAAGAAAAAGAATTGGCTAGTATTTGGGAAAATTGTGCATTGCTGGTGAGATTGTAAATGCTGGTGCCACTATGGGAAATAGTATATGTGGGCCAGTAGATGGCATAACGGTTGTGTGGCTGGACTCCCACATGACTGGCTACAGTCTGAGTCTGTCATACGGATGACTTTGCAGTTCAAGTCCTGGACCCGGTGGCTTGAAAATCATGCCGTGTGTGTGTGTGTGTGTGTGTGTGTGTGTGTGTGTGCCCAAGAACCTGGGAGGAGAATCGAGGAGAAGGGATTCTGGTGTGGCCATACCCCCGGGATGTGGTTTCTCACTTTCCTTCTCACTGTCTCTGCCTCTCTCTGCTGAGCACATGTGCCCTAAGGCAAAAACCTCTTTAAAAAATTGTATATGTTTCCTAAAAAAATTAAAAATAAAATTTCAATATGATTCAGAAATTCCATTTGTATGTATATAATATATACAGAACAATCGAAAGCAGGGACTAAAACCAATTTGTATAACCATGTTCTTTAACACCTTTATTCACAATATCTAAAAAGTGGAAGCAACCTAAGTGTCCATTGATACATGAATGGATAAACAGAAAGTGGTATGTACATGCAATGGAATAGTGTTCAGCTTTTAAAAGGCGGGAAATACTGACATGTTATAAAATGGGTAGACTTTGAAGTCATACTTACTGAAATAAGCCATTCACACCCACCCACACACACACATACACACACACACACACTCTCTCTCTCTGATGATCCCCCTTCTGTGAGGTATTTATACTACTCAAACTCATAAAGATGAGAATAGAATAGCTGCCAATGTCTGAGAGGAGGGGGAATTGGAGAGTTACTGTCTAATGAGAAGAGAGTTTCCAGTTTGGGAAGATGAAAAAGTTCTAGGGGTAGATAGCGGTGATGGCTACACAAGGAATGTAGTAAATGCCACTGAACTATACACCGAAAGGTGGTTAATAAGGAACATTTTATGTATGTCTTACCACAATAAGAAATATTTTTTAAAGGAATATGTAAGTATTTATTGACCACTGTTCACCAGTATTTACAGTAAATAGACAATATACAGTTGGATAACATTCTGATTACTACGGAATTACTGATATTTCTTGCTTCTGCTGAGCCAGTAACCCAAATACTGAAAAGATTGAGGCCTATACATAAAGAATGAATTGGGATCAAGAAAAGAAACATGCACAATAGTTTAGATCACAAATTTGTTCACTCATTTATTCCAGCAAGTCCTAAACTGCTAACATCTTTAACCATCTGATTAAGTTTCCATGAGCCAAATCTTAGACATTTCATGAAGAATGAACTTTTAGTCGATAGAGCATAAGGATTTCAACTTTTTGTAAAGGAAAAGTTCACTAGAGGATTAAAATGCCCACTTAACTAACTCTTAGCTAAACACTGAGATTTGTCTTTTTGTCATCTGGGAGGGAAGCTTACTAGTAATGGTACAATTTCTCCTTTCAGGAATTCTGCCAATAAACTATTGAATACACATGACTATAGACAGATAAAAACTGATATGGTTGCTTTTAAGTTAGCCAATTTAGATCATCCAATTATGAAATCATTGCTTAATTTTAAAGGTTATGGCTTCAGGAAAGCTTTCAATTTAATTTGAAACAACTTACTTCTTTTTCTGAGGTTGCTAAGAATGACGGTATCT